TTACGCCGTAATATTTGCATAAGTTTACAAATCGTAAATCTTACGCAATACTTCGCATTAAAAATATTCCTGATGAACAACATACCAATAATTTTGCTTTATTGTTATTCCATTTATGTACTTGTTTTGGTTGAATATTAAAATATTTGGCAGTTTTACATTTACTTTCTTCATTATTTTTCAAAAAATGCACCACCATTAATTTTTCTCTTACAGTTTATTGTCTTTCTTTTGTAATAAACAATTATATGCTTTTTGATTTTTTTTATTTCCAATAATAACCATTTTTACTTTAAAATAATTTGCGTCACAAATAAAAGACAAAGAAATGAAAACGCGTTTATTATTTATAAGGATTTATTATACAAAATAGGAGAAGATACAGATAAATGTGATTTTTATTAATCTTTTTTTCCTAAAAGGGTAATTTACCTTACTTCTAAAATATAAATATGTCTAGGTATTATATATGGCAAATATCCTGGATACTTTATAAACCTTATACTCCTCTTATGCACAGTATTCCTATTATATCCCCCTGTATAATATACCCTGGATATAGCCTTCAACTCCCTAAAATTTGTATCATATCCAGGTTATTATGACCCCTGTTATACGATACTTTAATTAAATTTGTAAATAATAATTAGGAGTTAATACTTATAAATTTTACTATAACAATTTAAATATATGCTGATATATTTCATAATATATTTAGAATGATTATTAATAGTTTAAGCATACTTGTCTAATAATAAGTCTAAAATAATTTATTAGTAAAATATAAAATAAAAAAAAAATGCATATATATATCTTTTATTCAAAAATTTATTTATTAGTTTGCTAATAACAAAGATCAAATAATAATATTAATTATAATTTACTTTGATATTTACATAGCAATAAAATAATTATCTTTAAATCTAATAAGTATCTATCTGCTATAAAACTAATCAATTTCCGGAATTAAGGGATTCAATAAAATTATCCAAATTAAGATCTTCATACTGTGTATCGTCCCATAGATTTTCTAATCCTTCCAAAACATTCTTCGTAGCAGATATTTTCTTTCCTTTTGCAAAACCAGATCCTGTACCGCTTATAGATGTACTTCCTCCTTTTTGATTTCTGTTGTTATGATCAGTAGTTACATTGAACAAATCAAGTATTTGTTCAGTATCCATACTTTGTAGTCCAGAATTTTGTTGATTAACAATGGAATTGGCGATGTTAAGTTTAAATTTTTGTAATCTATAATAAAATAATAATATTGGTTACTAAAACGTTTGTAAAATACAAGGATTCTCATAAAAACATCAATTCCTTACCCCATAATCTTTTCTTCCAATGTTCCTTTAGTAATTAGACGATATACATTGACTACTTTCTTTTGTCCTATACGGTGAGCACGATCCATTGCCTGCAAATCTTTCATTGGATTCCAGTCATGTTCAACAAAAATAACAGTATCGGCTCCTGTTAAATTTAGCCCAAGTCCACCAACGTGTGTAGTAAGTAATAGCACATCAATTGATGGATCTTTATTAAACTGTTGTACAATTCCGTGACGTTTATTGGCATCCACTGAACCATCGAGTCGCATATATGTGACCGAAGGCATTATTGGCTTAAATAAATCATTTTCAATAATGTCAAGCATTGTCTTAAGCTGACAGAAGATAAGTGCTCGATGCTGACTGACTGCACCAGCGCCCAAAGTACCTTCTTCAGATTCTGTAGACACTCCTATACCACAATCAAGTAATAGTTGCCTATGTACGTGCGAGCATAAATTAATTATAAATTAATTATGCTAAAATAATGCAATAAACGAAATTAAGTATAGTTACTTCAAAGCAAGCAATTTTGGAGCATTTTCCAAATCATGCAACGAAGACCTGCTAGACTTGAGTTTATCCATGACAATGCGGTATTGTGGATGTTTATCATTCATTACTAATAAAGGATGATTGCATAACTTGCGCAAATACTGTAATGCTTGAAATATATGTGTAGCTTTCTTGTCGCCTTCTTCTTCAATATGTTCCGTTCCAAGTTCACTTTCAACACTGCTCTTAGCTTGTGATTTAGCAAATTGTTCATAAAGTTGTTTCTATTCATTTGAAAAGCAATAATGAAACATTCATTAGTTTTAAATATTTAATTAAAAAGGATAAACCGCATAAATCCATACCTGTAAATCACTAAGCTCGCAATAATAATCTTGTATGATTTTCGGAGGTAAGTCATTCAAAACATCCTCCTTTAAGCGTCTCAGCAAGAATGGAAGAACCTGTTTATGTAAGGCTTCGAGTGCCAAAGCACCTAAAAGAAATGTTGTTAGAACAATACATACAAATTTCTAAAAAAATTAATGTTTATAAGAACGAAATGTAACTAACCAGCTTCCTGTTCTCTGGAGGAACTCTTACTATCTCTACTTGAAAGTATAGGTTTGCCAAAACGTTCATTAAATTGTTTTTCGGTACCTAAAAATCCGGGCATTAAGAAATCGAAAAGTGACCATAATTCTAGCACATTATTCTAAATAAAAGTAAAGTCAAGTCAAAATATTTTCTTAAGTTCGGATTCACTAACATTATTACTAACCTGTATTGGAGTGCCAGACAATATCAATCGATGATTGGCCTTTACAGATTTGACCGCTTTTGTTATCTTTGTTTTACCATTCTTGATAACGTGGCCTTCATCTAAGATACAATAATTCCAATTTATATTAGCCAAATCTTCAATATCGTTGCGAACTATATCATATGACATAATAATAACATCAGAATTGTTGATTTTCGGTCGAAGTCTATCAAATACAAATACAAATTATCAATATTAATAAATAAACATGTAACCATAATAATGAAGAATATTGTACCTGTCTCGATCTTTTGGATTACCAGAATACAGAAGTGGCTTTAGCGTATCTGTATAATTTAATATCTCATGATACCAATGTCCTGTTAAAGTAGGGGGGCAAACGACTAAAGATGGGCAAGGGGCACAATCTGGAGACTTTGTTTGACTATATTTCTCAGAACGAGTATAATGGTCGCTCGCCAAAATACATATGGATTGAAGAGTTTTACCTAGACCCATATCTATAAAACATGAATAAACAATAATAAAGTAACAATATATACATATATATATATATTTTTAATTCTAATTAAAATTTATATGTAATATTTGATTTAAGAGATATACATTAAATCTTACCATCACATAATATGCCATGTAATTGATATTTGTTCAAAAATGCCAACCAATTGACACCTTCTTGCTGATATTTCCGTAATTCAGCTTTGATATTTATTGGAATTTCATAAGGATCCAATTTATTACTATCAAGAAGTTGTGAAAGGAATCTCCGTTCATCATCACGGTGCTTTAATAATTCAGTTGATAGTCCAGGTGGGTCAGGTATACCAGCCTATATAAAATAGTTTAACGTTAGAGGAAAAAAATTTTCTAAACGCAAAAGCAATATCAGCAATGTATATCAAAATTCCTATTTACCTCTAACGGTACTAATTTGATCAACATAGCAAAACAATTCGTGCTAACTAATCGAACGTTTTCATCTACATCACTCATTCTACCCAAAATTGGAACAATTAAGAAAATAACATATGGCAGAATTTTTGCATCCATAGTTTGTACGACATCTATAAATATAAAATAAATTGAGGTAAATACATGTAATTATTTACAATTTTTTAATTACGATATGTTATATGACGTACGATAAATTAACTCAGCTGCTCCTTGACGATGTATTACGTTTTGTGAATCACCCAATAAAGGTATTACTTGATGGATTATTATTTGCATACTTGGTATTGTGATTACACTTGCAATAGTAGCAAAACATCTTGCAGCCATGAACCGAATTACAGAATATTGACATTGAATAGCTTTGACGATATGAGGTAGCAATTCCGTAAACTGTAAGGTGCAATTAAAAACGCATCGTTAAAAATTTTATAATTAACTGTTCAAGTTAAAATGATGGAAATGAATTAATAAGAATTAATAATTACCTTTGAATATAAATTTTCATGAACTACAGGAACTAATGATTGAATTATTTGAAGAGAATCAATAACGTCTTGCCCTATACTGTTATTTGTTTTAAGTGATATGCCTATAGTATCTTCGTCGTCTATAATTTCATTATACATAAATTTTATCGATAAGTTAATATATTTCTAGACAATGATTTAATAAAATAAAGAGGTATATACCTTGGCTGAATACGTTATCTAACGATGAACACATGCAGGTCCACAATTTTGGCACTACTTCAAATAACCTATGACTAAATTGCATAGCAAACTCTCTCAGTGCTGTTTCAGCACCTCGTCTTATTAATCTTTGTGATTTAAGCTTCTCGTCCTCGCTTGACGTATCGCCATTAGACGAAGCCTTGTCTGGTTCTTTAGCTTTAAGTAATGATAGAATACCTTCCTTTTTATGATTGTTCTGAATATCAGGAGTAGTGGTCGGATCAGAACAAAGGAAAGTGCACAAATTTTTAACAATTTTATCATTGGGATTAACTCTAATTGAACTATCTGCTGCTATTGAACAAAGAGAAACAAGGCTGGCTAAAGTAGCGGCAGAACGTTGTTGCAACCCTAAATTCTCTTCAGATTTAATAGAATTCATGATAGATCTTATTATTGGATTCAATTTTGGAGGTAAAAACTGTAATGCTACAACGGCACCTGCAATAGCAGCAAACACTATAATGTCATTTTTTTGTTTTGTCGACTCATAGTAACCGATTGAAGCTAGCACACGACGCTGGCGATCCTGTAGTTGCGACTGTCGTTCCTCCGGTTGGACTTGCGCAGACCTTCTACTTCTCCCAGAAACTTGAGCAGATAAATTATTGAATGTTGTTGTCGCAAGCTCTGCCGCAATCTCAACACTAAATAATTGTGATGCATCTAACTGTACTACTTCACCAAGAACGTATATCGGTAAAGCTGGTACATTAGCTGAATTGATTCTACCTACGGAAACAAAAGTGTTCAGCATAGCTTGGCATTCGCCTCTGATACGACGTAATATAGTAACAAGTTCTGCATAGAAGGTTGGTGGATCGGATTCAAGCATTTGAACCATAAATTCAGAGATATTTAAAGCAAATGACGAAGTATGTACCAATGAACTTTGAAAGCTTTGACAACTATTATCTAAGACTGATCTTGACCATTCCTCAATAATGACTGCAGAAAGTTGTTTATTTGAAGCCCATGAAGATGAAAGACATGCCATAAGGATTTCCTTAAAAGTTAGCTCCAATGACTAATATATACAAATAAATAATATAATAAATAAGTATTATGATATAAAAAAGCAAAGTTATGCTAGAACTGCTCGTTTACAATCCATCTAATGAAATACAAGATATGATTTACATACTTCATTTGGCCATCTACTCATAAGCATGCCCAATCCTTTAGAAGCAGCAACCCTGCCTCTTAGCACTGTATCTACACTAACTAACGCAAAATCCTGTTGTAACATTCCAACATCAATATTATGTCCAACTAATTCATCCGTGCTTCCGTTACTTGCTTGGTTACGACCTTGCCCACGCCGACGTGAATTCGATGTAGAAGTGGTTGATATTGTCGTAGGAATTATTTCCATTGGGATTGTCCCTTCGGGTATGTAAAATAACCGACGATCAATTGGAGTGCCTAGTGGTGTCATAATTATCGTGAACCAAGTTCGTATGTATGGAGATGTAAATTGAATGAGTTGGTTTTGATACATCAATGCTGACCAAACTTGGACGGATAGATCGAGGACTTCCTGTATGTTTAAAATGTTCATGAAAAATTTTTAAATAATAGCAAATCTTTAATAAATCTTTTACTCGTACCTTTTTTTCCTCGACTATCATATTCTGAAGCACAAGTCTAAAAGTACGATCATCAACCCATTCTTCTGAACTGTTCATACCCAAAAAAGTTAAAAGGGTATTAAGGACTGCGGAACGTACAGATGTAATGGTATGCCGAAAAAATGGATATAGACGCGGTATTAATGTCGTTAAAGAATGGCTAAAATTATAAATTAAATAAAATTAAGGGTTGATAAGATTTTTAAAATAAAATCATACATTATCATAGCATATCTATTATTCTACCTTGGATCTGATGCAGCTGCATGGCGCATATATTCCAATACACTTGGAAATGAAAATAATTTAGCTAATAAAAAAAATTTTTTTTTGTTATTTTATTTATTTATTTTTTTAAAAAAAATAAGTTTACTTAATATTAAAAATTTACCTAAAAAATCCATTACACTTGCCGTGGATGCAGTTAAATCATCCTTCAAATCCTTCAGACAATCCCACAAAACTGAAACAATTTCAGGTATCTTATGGGATGAAAGACTAACAAAAGAATCTGCAATTGGAATTAAGATTGAAGCAGCTACCGCACGAACATCATCATCACTATCTTTTAATCTACAATAGTGAAAAGATTACAAAAAATTGTAAATCATAAGACTCGGTTCCTATCAAAAACCTATCTATGCCTTTGATAAGAAAGAAGTCCATGAAGCATATATTAAACATGGCATACCCTAAAATAACAGCACCAACGGTACCATCCAACATCATATTTACCAAGTCCTTACGAACTGCAACAGCATATTTCAAACCTAACATTCCAGCATGTCGAACCTCCCATATTGATGTCTTACCATCAAGTAAATCTGTTTGATAAATCATTCTCAATAATACCCTATGTACATTTTCTACACCCTGAGGTGACATATAATGTAAAAGAGCACCCATAGTCTGCGAACATGTTTCACGTACAGGTGCAACAACCTGTTATAGAGAGGTTAGATAAGAATAAAGTTGCTAATTTGTTATATTTTAACTTAAACCTATCTCTTTACCTGGTCTGATACAAAATCACCGAACCTATCTAAAGCAAAAACACATAGCAACCGAATTGCTATATCGTCCAACCATTTATTATGGCGGGCTTCATTTTCTGATTTAGTTAATCCAACTAGTTAAAATGTAATATTAATAAATTAATTTATTCGCTAAATTATATAACTATATTTATCATATCCTTCGATTAAACATACCAGCTCTACCTGCACCGTGTCCATGTACTTTTAATATTTCTCTCAGTCCAATACATGCACCGTGTCTAACTTCCCAACATGAACTAAAAATATTTATATTTGTGTGAAATACAAATCTAAAACTATAGCAATTTATAATTATTAATTTCAATTAACTTACTTAAACAAAGACACACATAATGATTCACACACTTTTTCAAAGGGCCATTCATTGGATAATTCTTCAGATATATTAGAAGAAATGTCTTTTTTAGCCTCAACCACAATCTTGCTAGAACAAGGTTGTGGAGTAAAATTAAAGTAACCATCATTTTGTGTAGAATCAGGTAATCCTATATTCAATACGCAGTTATTTTGTTAACGTTATTGTTCATGTAAGCATTTACTTGAGATTATAATATAATAATTACCATCAGGTTCAGCTTTTACGTTAGATGGTGAAATAGGGGCTACAAGTGGTGTTGTAGCTTCAGCGCCTGCTCTTCTTCCACTCATTTCCACTACACGCATTCTGAAAAAAAACCAGAAGTTAAAACTAATGTTAATCACAAATTGAAATATCTTCCTATCGGACATACTTTTCTTTCCCTTTGTGTTTAGCATCGCTTTTTGCCTTTCTCTTTAATCTATTTCTTTCTCGTGCACTTAACCCAGACATTTCTTCCGAAGGCAATCCAGGAGAGCGAGGTTGAGGGGGTTGGGTAGGTTGGGGTTGGGCGATAAATTCTGTATTTTGTAGTTGTGTAGTTTGTGGTACTGAAGCTCCACTTATATCCACATCATCCAACAAATCAACTACATAATTGTATTAATTTCGAGTTTAATTAATAATGATTTATTTACTGTTGAAAATAATACGACTTTCTTTTAACTCACCATCCATGAATTCGCTACCTAACCCTAATCGTTCTTTAAGGTTTTTATGTTGAAGCGCCAACCGTTGTGCGGGATCTAGATCACTTAAGTCAAGATCATATTCCTAACACCATATTTTTCATTCGTTAAAATCACGTGTTCATACTTTACAGAAGAATAAGCTTACTCGTCATACCTTGCCAGCTGAACCCAACAAAGTTTTCCCTTTCTGCAATACACTTGCAATATCAAATGTTTCAAATGAATATTTATTATCATTTTTTTTGTTTACAGTATATGGTTCGTTTTCTAATTTTATAACTATAGTTGTTTTTAAAGAATATGTCAAAAAAAAAAAATCGTATAGGACAATTATATATGAAATAGAATTAGAAATTAACTATAAATGATAAAAGTGAAAAAAAAAGTAAAAGAAAAATAGCTAGCATACTTTCAGGAGGATCCCATTGCGGTACATTTTTAGCAATGGCCTCGATCGCTTGTCCAGCGGCAATTCGAGTGTCCCATTCTTTATTGCTCAAATGTATGATAACCTGATAAATGTACGCGCCTTTTAAGTTATTACAAAACTTATTTGGAATTATTAAAAAAACGATCAATAAAAAAAATAAAAATAAAAAAAAATAAAATGGACCCTTGATAAAAGGTTATGTAGCTCTCCAGGGTGCTGCTTTTGGATCTCTCCCAACTGTTGAGCGGCCGTTGCACGTACAGCAGGCGTAGATCCTGTGTCCAGAAGAAGGACCAAACGGTCCAATCTGCATAAGAAATTTTAGCATTTCGAAAAGATTTAGAAGAAAAAATGGAAAAATTTGATACTTTTTCGTATATGGTGATAAACTTTACCGTGTCGACATTTTTAGCCAATACTGTATACAGGGGCTGATGAATTACGGTATGTTTACGCGGTGCAGAAATTGGAGCAATAGACGGGATTTGAGATCTTATATATATTGTTTAATGATCAACCATAGTATAATTTATGAATGTTGTTACACATATGATACGACTTGTATTGTATTACAATAATAACATAATAAAATATTCATTATTTTTTTTTTTGTAACTAAATTTAGAAAAATTTATTTCTTATATTAAATATAAATATATCAAAATTCTTATTGATGTATTATTATAAATAATTCAAATTGGATTATATATATAAAAATAAAAATTTTTCATATATTATAGATTAAAATCATATTTGCAAAAATAAAGATTAGTAGAATTTAAATCATATATTATTAAATAATTTAATTTATAAAATAATATTAAAACAATTTTGATAATTCTTTATTAAAATAAATATAAATTAAATGTATTTTATTTATTTCTTAAAATTTTATATTTTTAAATTAATAAATTTTAAATTTAATTTTAAAAATTTTTAAATATTATAATTTTAATTTTAATCTATAATATATGAGAACTTATAGTAATAATTATAGTAAAAAAATTTTTAAATTAGTAAAATCTGAACTTTTTTTATATTTAACTTATAAAGTAAAAATTTTTTTAATAGTTTTCTCCCTTTTTATTATAAAGTGTCTATATAATCTTATTTAAATAAAATTATAAAATATTAATAAATATAATAAAAAAAATTTATGTAGAAATAATTTTAATTATTTTTATAATTAATTTTATTTATTATATTTTTAAAATATCTTTATAATAAAAAAAGTTTAATTTAATATATATTATTTAAATAATTTTAAAATATATAATTTTTATAAAATTTTATTAATTATTATAATCTTTAATTTTAGAATCTTTAAAATTATTTTTAATTAATAATATATTTTTATATATTTCTTAATTTTTTTATTAAAAAATATAATAATATCTTTAATAATTAAAATATTAAAATAAAAGTAATCTTAATAATTTCATTTTTTATAATTAATTAATTTTTTTTAATTAATTAAAGTTTATAATAATAAGATAATATATAAAATAAATTGTAATTATATCTTTTAACTATATAAATATAAATATTTTATAATAAAATAAAGAAACTTATTTTTTAAATTAATGTTATATCTAAATTTATTTACAGTTAACTCTTGTTATAACGAACTCTATGTCCTAAACCTCAACTTCGCTATAAGATTATAGTGAAGATTTTAAGAGATTTGATTGGCCAATTCGCTATAACAAAAGTATTTTTATTATATTTGTTCAAAAAAT